AAGCCACTTCTGCATGAGTTCGATCCCCGCCTGCACCGAGGAGCTCCACATGGCGCGGCAGACCTCTCCTAACCCGCCCGCTGCTCCCCTCAGCAGTGTACTTCATCGATCTGCCTGTTCTGCTCCCCACTCTGTCTCTGGTGAATCCTCTCACCCTCCACATCTCTGGCCTGTACCTCAGTTCTGTACGAATAAATAAATATTAAAAAAAAAATCTTAGCTGATAGTAAAAGACTATTTACACACAAAATACCAGTCTGAAAACTGTTAATGTAAGAAACTTGTGACATATTTTTTCCTTCAGCCTCCTTGATGAAAAGATTTTCCCTACCAAACCACTCATAGTACAAAAAATGAAACCACAAAAATTAAAATTCCCAGGTTCAATTGTTTATACCAGGCTTCATTTTAAAAAATGTTGAGAGCTTACAAAGATCAGGGGCTTGATGACAAGATTTTTAAAAAGGGTAAGATTATAAAGGAAAGGTTATGGGAGAAGTTAAGAATGCTGTCGATATTAAATCCCAAATGTAATGTTTCAGAGCCTCTTGTGCCACTTAATAACCATCCAGTCTTTGAACACCGCCAGTCTTCAGTAATTCGAGGTGACTCAGTTTATCTTTGGACAGCTATGACCACCAGAATGGGCTTTTTGATCAGGTCATCACTGTAGTTTAGCACATACTCATGCTCCCCCTATTACTCTCTACTCGATATTCTAATTTATTTAACATTTAGTGAAAGTTCAATGTGGCAGAACCTGCATTCATTAAAACATTATCTTAATTCTCAATCTTGTGGGATGAGTTTGTCTAAATTTCCGTTTTACAGAGGAAGATATGATTGTAGGTAACTTACAGGAGTGTGTTCAAAAGAGCACATGTGAGGAAGCAGGATTAGAAGAGAATTTGAATGATAGTCACAACAAAGGCTGAAGTTAATTGCATGGGGAATGCTGGAAATGGGATGGGCACACAGTGTTGGCCAAAACTGAAATAGGTCTGGCTTTTATATTATTCCATTATTGGATGCTGGCTGCCCCCCAGGAGAGGACATGACCTCAGGACAGGCAGTCCCTTTCAAACGGCACTAAGGAAATAAATGAGTCCTGAAAAGTTGTGGCAGGTCACTCTGGACAGCACAACATAGCACCCACCACATTTAAATACCTTTTATCTATCCTATTACTCTTTTGCAATTTTTTAAAAAATATGCTTATCATTAATTTTGTTATGTCTGTCTTTACCAGTTTCTAACATTCCTTACAATTTAATCTTTATGAATTTCATTTTATAATTATTTCCTTAGTTCTTTCAGTTTTCATCTCCTTCTGCTGTTTCTGGGTTCTTATTATTGCTGTTTCAAAGCCCTAAATGCTCTTTCAACTCATTTAGAAATTCTAGGTTAGTTTTCACTTACTTTGTGTCTGCATTTTTCCAGTGTGTTCACATCCTGCAGGTCTTGTCTTCTCAGGAACTGCTCTCACCTTTACAAGTTCATTTTGCTGTCACAATCCTTTCTGGACTTGCTTTGTCTGCACTCTTCCCTTACTATTATTGGAACTACTCCTTCCCTTTACCTGCAAAATTTCTGTACCATACAACTTGATTTTTGAAACAAGCAGTTTCTGTAGGTGGGTCTGTGCTTCTGGGGTAAATTACAAGGCTGCCTGGGGCTTAGTTTACCACAGTACTCTGCTGTTATGGGGTTTCTATGCAGTTCCTTCCACTCACCAACCAGTAATTGTGAACCTATGGTAACTTCCTGTTTCAGTTGCTCTCAAACCTATTTGTTCAGTTTGATCAGGTAATAATGATGTTTCAAATTAGTGCAGTGGCAGAGTAGATAAAGACGATTAGAGGCTAAGATAGGTGTTTGGTGATATGATTAAGGGGAATTATTTATGGTCTACTGTTGGAGTGAAGAGGTGCTCAAAATGATTTCTGGCTTGAGCACTTGGATGATTTTGCAGAAATGGTGGGAACTGGGAGATGAATGATTGGTGATGGCAAAAATAGGTACTCTATTTGGCTACACTAAGTTTGAAGTGCCTATTAGAATTCCAAGTGGATATATTAGGGAAATGTGTTTGAGCTGAGATTAAAAAAAAAAAAGGTCTATAGTTAGAACCGTGGGAAGCCTTTCCTGAATGCCCACTTCCCATACCAGTGAGTTGGTTACCCTTGCTATCCATAGCATCCTTCATCACTCCTATTGTGACAAATATATATTCTAATTGTCTATTTGTTGGCCCATTTTCTCTGTTAGACTATGAGCAGTTTGTGGGACAGAACCTACATTAATTTATACTCAGGCTTTTTCTTGGCAGTGTAGACATGTCAGCTCTTATTTCTTCACAATGCATGCACAAGAAATCACCAATTCTAAAAATCCTTACTATTTAACTGCTATTGTTGTGTGCTTTCTCTGAAAAAAAAAAGTTGCATTTTTGGACATGTTCAGAAAAAAAAGGAATTTACCATTTTTTGGCTAATTGATCATCTATTGGCTCTACACTGGTTCTTCTTGTTCTCTTTTCACCAGTACATCAGATGTGTTAGAAAGAGGGGAAGTGACGACCCTCCCTGGTGGTACAACAGGTTAAAATACAGCACTGTGAAGCTGGCCTGGCTGGATGTTTGGGTGTGAGTTCTATCCCGCCCAGGAGGTGATCCACATGGCACAGCAGACCTCTCCTGTATTGCCTGCTGCTCCTCTCAGCAGTGTACTTCATTGATCTGCCTGTTCTGCTCCTCACTCTGTCCCTGGTGAACCCTCTCACTGCCCTGCACCTCTGGCCTATATCCCAGTTCTGTATGCATAAATAAGTAAATCTTAAAAAAGAACAAGGGGAAGTGATATTGTAGCACCAAATTGTCATATACTAACAGTTTCACAGAAGAAAACTTCATGAGGATCATCTAACTCCCTTTTGGACTAGTCATTTAACTAGATATAAGCCAATCATGTTTCAGTCCATACTTACCATTTTATTCAAATCCCAAAGAAAAAACAAGTAAGTGCCTTACCTAAATATACATCACCACTTAAGTTTACTTACCTTTTTGATAGGATTAACACATCAAGGATATACTCTGACCTATTTTTCCTATTTCTGATGACACCACGTTGCATTCCGATGGTGTGTTTGTATTCACACAAGGCCACACAGCAACTTGATATTACAACTGAGAATCCTGGGATTTTGATTCCTAAGCTATTACTTTTTTGCTATACCAGTGTGATGTTCAAATTCTTACAGAAGATGCTTATCATTAAAAAAGGGAGCACCAGAGCAAAAAAAAAAATCAAGATAAAACAATCTAAAGGTAATGCATCCTCACAGAACTCTCCCACTTACAAACTCATCCTATTCCAGCTTCAACTGTTTACTTATATTTTTCTAACTTAAAAATAAGCTCAAGTCTGAGTGTTAGTTTCTAGTAAGTAGGCCACTGAAGAAATAAAATTAGAGATGCAAACTTTTCAAGTATTTCCCATCTCACTCCCAACATAAAATCATCTTTGGATGGAAAACAACAACTTACATAAAACGGTATGTAGAAAGTAAAACACTTTAATATAGAAACGTTTCCAGAATATAGACTGATTTTGTTTTGTATCAGTACTTTTTGAGAACTTTTTAAAACTATATTGCATCTAAGCTCATTATAGATTTTCATTTTCCACTTTCAGAGCTAGAAGATACAAAAATACACTGCAAATTAGATTTAACAACAACAAAAAGACCAGTTCAACTTGTTTCATACATTATTCTTGGAGAAAACCAAGATACATACACAAACATATTAACAATTACAATAAAACACCAACCACCAACATTAACATGAACCCAAACTAGGAATGGATTCTGTAATGCCTGGTAATTTTTTTCATTTAAAATAAATTATTTCCCATAGGTAAATAATTCATTATCATAGAAACGTGATTAATAGAAACAGACAACTTCACTAAGGGGAATTACATTATGTGTAAGGAACATGTAACTTTTTCTTTTTAAGGAAAATGAAGATCAGTAATTTGAAGGCATATCAAATACTTTTACTTCACTTGGCTTTTGTTAAGTGTTTAAAATAACTGTCCATTTAGGAAAATTCAAGTAACATGAAATAGATGAAATCAAACTCTTTGTTTCTTCAGTTTTAACCTTAAAGAAATAACATTGAAGTTCTTTGACTCTTCTGTCTTCTGAGAGACACACTTCCTTTCCTCGTGTCCTTTTGTTGTTCCTTCTCAGAGGCTAGACGTAGCCTTGTTTCTTTTCTTCAATTACGTTTCAATTTATATCTAGAACAGACTCATCCTTAAGTATTGGTGTTTCAATCTTTCTTCAACAGGTTTCCTTTCCTCATATGTTCCTGAGTATGCTGTCTCTCTCAGAGGCTTAGGCCTGTTTGATTCATCTTTCAATTCAAGTTGCACATACAAAAAAACTAGGCTTTCTTGAACTGACAGTAAGTGTACCCTCACTCTCCTTTTCTCCCTTGGGTGCTCCTATTTTTGTCTAAATCCTTTTTCTAAACTGATTTCTTTAGTTTCAACCTTAAGGAATCAAAACTAGGTTCAAATTCCTAAACCAGACTAATCCTAAAGCAGTGACTCTTCTGTCTTCTGAGAGACACACTTCCTTTTCTCTTGTGTCCTTTTGTTGTTCCTTCTCAGAGACTAAACGTAGCCTTGTTTCTTTTCTTCAATTAAGTTTCAATTTATACACAAAAAATTAAGCTATCCTGAACTGACATTGAGTGTTGCCCTCTTTTCAATCAGATGCTTGTTTTTGTCTACATCCATTTTCTATACCGATTTCTTTAGTTTCAACTTTAAGGAAGCAAAACTAAGCTCAAGTTCCTAAACCAGACTAATCCTAAAGTACTGAATTTTCAGTCTTTTCTTCAATATATTTCCCTTTCTCTTATATTCTTATATTGCTCTCTCTTTCTCTGAGAATAGGTTTATTAGGCTGTTTTTTCTTTCCATTCAACTTCAATTTGCACACACAAGACTAAGCTTTCCTGAACTGACACTCACTGTATCCACCTCCTATTTTCCTCATTGTTTCCCTAAATCCATATTCTTAACCTATTTCTCTAATTCACCCTTGGGTGAACAAAATCAAAATTTCAAAATCCAAGAATAGACTCATCCCAAAGCATTTCCTCTTCTGTCTTTTCTTCAACAGGCTTCTTTTTCTCTTTTCGGTGCTTACGTTCTTCCTTCTCAGAGTTTACACCATGGCTTTTTTTCTTTTTTCTGTGCTTCAACTTTCCTGAGCTGACACTAAATTTATTTTCCTCTTTTTTCCTTTTTCGGATGCTCTCATCTTTGTGTAGATCTGTATCCTCATTATCTCTTTTCCTCTTGTGCTTGGACTCCTCCTTCTCTCGCCTTTCTTTGCCTTCCTCCAGGTGCGTTCTTCTTTTCCGACGTCTGTGTTTATGACCTTGATGATGATTGGTCTTGTTTTCTGACGACAAGTGCTTATAAACTTCAGATTCCATACTGTTTGGGCTAGAGTTATTTTCTTGGTGACTAAGGCTCAGGGGTACTGCTTTATCTGGGTAATAGTCTCTGCTGGACTGATAATAGGTCATAGAATCTAGTCTCTGGTTGCTCTCATGAGCTGGTAAGCACTGAGATAATTGGCTTTTCACTGCTTGTGAAATATTGTATGTTTCTGGGTGTGCCTGGAAAGTCTCAAATGACTGGAATCTTTGCTCACACATTCTGTATCTGGGTTTGGAATCAACCATTTCTCTATACTTATGGATTTCCACAGAGCTATCACTTATCTTTCTGAAACAAGTCTTTGGGTCTAGTCCTCTAGCTTTCTGTACTTTGATATAATCTTCCAGTTCATCTTGGAAAGGGTCATGTGGCCTCTTTGAATGAACTGGTAACCAATGAGGTACCTGGTTGTACATTGGTAAAAGATTGTATGGTCGTTCGTAAGACTGGAAAGTCTCAAATGAGGATCTTTGCTCAAATATTCTTTGTCTGGGCCCAGAATCAACTTCTCTGTTCCCACATGTTTCCACAGAATTCTCTCTCATTTTTCTGAAACAAATCTTTGGGTCTAGGCCTCTGGCTTTCTGCACTTTGATATAATCTTCCAGTTCATCTTGGAAAGAATCATATGTCTTCTTTAAATGAACTGGTAAGTAATGAGGTAAATGGTTTTTTACTGTTTGTGAAAAATTGTATTGTCCTGGGTATGTTTGAAAAGTCTCACTTGGATGTCTTTGTTCATACATTTTATGTCTAGGTCTGCAATTGACTACCTCTCTGAATCCATGTTTCTCCACAGAATTCTCCTCCATCTTTCTGCAAGTCTTAAGGTCTAGTCCTCTAGCTTTCTGCACTCTGATGTAATCTGCACATTCATCTTGGTAAGAGTCTTGTTTCTTCTTTGAATTCTTCACAAGATTGATAACAATAGATTCTCTGCAAAGAAGACAATAGACCGTTGTTATTACTCAATTATGCTTAATATTCTGTTTTCAGAAAGATTAGTCTGAAAAAAAAAAGCTCAAAAAATTTAGTCTACCTCAAAATAAAAGCTATTAATCATGATTTTAAGATTCTATTTTATTTATTTATACACAGCAGAGATGCAGGGGTGAGAGGATTTACCAGAGACAAAGTTGGAAGCAGAACAGGTAGCTCTACTGAAATACACTGCTGAGAGGAGCAGGGGGAGAAACAGGAGAGGTCTGCTGCAACGTGTGGGTCAGCTCCCAGGCTGGGAATTAAAATCATGCTACAGTGGCTGGCAATAGCTTGATAGTGCTGAGACTTTAACTCCTGTGCCACCAAGGAGGCCAATCATGATTTTTGTTTTTAAATGTTACAAAGAAGCTGCAGAGACAGTCAGGTAGCCCCTCAGGTAACCTCACAATCTGTACACAGTTATTTTTACTTAGGTCTAGAATGAAAGGGGTTGGAATAAAAAAGGGATATCTGATACTGCTGTTGTACTTGAATTGTATGGCATATTGAGATGTATGGTAAAGGACCAATGTTATTTAATGCCTGGAATAGAGCCTGATTAAAATGTTGTTAAAGTTTTGATTAAATTAATCCATTGTATGGATCTATGAATATAATAATTATTCTGGAATGCTGATATTAAAAAAATAAAGGTCTAGATCAAGATTAATTTGGTGCGTCAGACAAATTATAACTTAAGACTTTAGACTTGGTAGTGTAAATATTTACTGCTAGAAAATAATGTGACAGAAACCCTATGGTTTTATTTTAAGTTCAACCAATCAAAAAATAGCTAAATAGCTAATAGCTAAATAGAAAATAGCTAAATGCCCCTCTGTCCTGAAACTTAGCTAGTCCCCAATTTTCTGCTCACTCTTCTTCTCAAAATAATAGAATATAATGGAGTAAACATTCATTACCCCGCTACATGCCAAGCAAAATACCTTGTATGTATTATAGTTCATTAATAACCACTTTATATTAGAGCTATTCAATATTACACACTTGGTAGAAAGAGAAATTCTGCCATTCTAATCCAGGTCTGTAACAGCAAGACCTTTGTTCTTAACCATTGTACCTCACTGGAAAGATAACTGGATCACTGAATTCCTGGACCTAAACCAGCCTACCAGGGCTTGTTTGAATTTGTATGGTTAGCCTAAAAATGACCCTTTAGTAATCTCTCTGAAAGGGGACAGTGCTGTCTGGTCAGTAAGGCTGCCAGGTAACTAGTTCTTACAATTACACCATCATAGATAGAGTAACACCCAGGGGGATGCTACTAGTATGTAATATGCTGTTAATAAAACCAAGCATACCCAGGATCAACTCACAGGGAAATAAATGTCTAGAAAGTTTGTAAAATACATAGAAGAGTACTTAAAAGTAGTCCTGATATTTGGTGTCATAGGAGCATTTTGGCAAAAAAATACTTACTTAATTTGATGTTCACGTCCTTGCATATGAGACCGAAACCTTTCTACAGATGTAAAGGTGATATTACAAATGTGACAGACGTAGGTTCTTGCACTAAATGCTGGAAAAACAAAAAGTTAAAGTTAAGAAGATAAATGTGGATATACTAAGAATCACATAACTGGGTAAGAATTTACTGAAGATCATCTACTTGAATTTTCCTAAATTATAGGTAAGGCCCAGAGAGGACAAATGACTTAGTCAAAGTCACAGAGTCAGTTAGTGGAGATTGTTTCTCAGAACCTATGTTCTTAATTGAAAGCCCAGATTTCTTTACACTATACCATATTGCTTCTCTAGTCTTGGTCTCTTTCCCATGACACTGATATCTGCCTGTTCATGGTTGTTACAATGGAATTACAGCATCACTTCAAATTTAGCATTCCCAATAAACCTTTGCCTCTGAATCCTTCAAACAGCCTCTTTTGTTTGACCCTTATTTTTCCACCCAACCAAAATCTGAAACACTCCAAAATATCAAAGATAAAACAAAAATTTTTTACTCTAACCTGAAAAATCACTACAGTGCATTAGTTTACCAAAAGTAATTTCCAGATTGATTTTAGACAGGAGAGAAGGTCAGTGAGAACCACTCACAAGATAAAAGTTGGAAGCAAAATACTAAAACAAAACTACTAGAAACCAAAAGAGTGAAGAACTACAGAATAGGTCTACCTATTCTGGTATTTGGTATAGCAGATACTTCCCTATTCTGCTTCTTGGGTAGAATTTGAAGTAGGGAGTAAATTATTTTCATTTCCTTAATATCATCATCCCCCACTTTTTATTTCATCAGAAGAAGCAAATTATCACACTTTATAAGGCAAATATAAAAATAATCTCAACCTAAAGAACATTCAATAAACTTGGTGGCTGCAGAGATTTTAGGAACAAGCAAGGTTGTCATGCTTTAAATCAAACAGCAACTCAATCATTTAGATGCTAAATTCATCATTTCCAAGTGTACTGGTCTTATCCAAGCTAAAATTATTCAAAAAATTTACAGGATACTACTGTCAAGGAGAAAGAAAGAAACTGACTTTGAATACTACTGACATATGCTCTATTGTGGGTCAAGGGGAGCTTAGTAGGTATGCCAAAGTCTGAATGAATGATTCCTGGAAATTTATCGTCACTCCATATGCTCTGGTTTCATGCTCTACAGGTCACTTTCTGATTATAATATGGTTGTGTATAGTCTTTGATAAATTTGATGATCAATATATAGTTTTAAAGATTTATTTATTTATGCATACAAGAACTGGGGTACAGGCCAGAGTTGTGAGAGGTGAGAGGACTCACCAGAGACAAAGTAGGGAGCAGAACAGGCAGATGGACTGAAATACCCTGCTGAGGGGAGCAGTGCGTGGGTAAGGAGAGGTCTGCCACACAATGTGGGTCACCCCCCTGGCCGGGGATCAAACTTGTGCTGCAATGGCTGTGGACAGCTTCACAGTGCTGTGCTTTAACCCGTTGTGCCACCCAGGATAGCCCTATCAATTTTTTTTTTTAAAAGACACTTTGGGAAATGGAAAGATATATACCTCCTACTGTAAATCAATACCAGAATGACAACATATTAACTGCAATGCTTCTTAGACTTTTCTAAGAATCACCTGGAGTGTTAGTTAAAAACACAAATCCCTTGAAAAATATGATTTACTGTTTCACACTAAGAGAAGAACTGTACAATTCCTTGATCATTTTTGAACACCTTCCAAGTTTTTTTGTGTTTTGCTTTGTTTGAGGTTGACCAACTCAGAAAATTCTGGACTTCTTGTAAAGTTAAAAGCTAAATCCAGGATTATCCATTCTGACAAGAAGCCTTTTCAGTAAATTAATACTATACTTTTTTAGCAGGTGTGAAAATTAAGGTTCAACTCATTGACCAAACTTTATACTTTGAGGGCACCCAAGTAATGCAAAATAGGCAGGAGTCCTAGTTTCCTCTAAACTATAGAGATTCTTAAAGCTGCTTGCTTTAACCCACTGTACCACCAGGGAGGGCCCTGTGAAAGCCATTTACTTTAGAACCATATAAACAAGGGACTTTAAAGATACTCATTAGACCAATTAAATTAGAACCTATAGATGTGGAACCAGGCTTGCTTACTTTATTGAAAGTATTTTGTATGATATTTCTCTCTAGCCATTGTTGAACGCCACTGTCCTGGCAAGGCATTATCAAGCCAATGGTCTTTATTAGTAGTATAAATTCAGATCATATATCAGAAATTTATATATATATATTTAGCACTTATAAAATGCATTACATATAATGTTCCCTTCAACTCCTCCACAAGTTAGACTATTACTCTACAAGTTAGAATATTCTAATAGAGTTAAGATGGGGGTTACAGAAGCTATAGCTTACATGTGAAAGATCCATAGGCAGTTCTGGAATCATGGTCTGATTATTATTACCTTAGCTCTCTATCTTCTTCATATACTGCTATTCTTAATCTTTTTTCCAGTGTACACACACTTCAGGAATAATATATAAAATTGTGTAATTTATAAGAACACTTTCTGTGAAGATATGAAACCTGTTTATTGGCTGTAAGATAAAAATTCCTGGCATATCCTCCTGGACCTGCTTTTACTATGTATTTTAGACACTCTCCATTCTCCTGTCTGTTCCCCTGTCTGGTTCTTGGTCCTATCTTGCTTTGATGTCCTCAGCCCCACCAGAATTCCTTGGTTCTGACTTCATGCCAAAATGCAAATGTCTGTACATTATGTATCTGAGTCCTCTATAACTTAGTACTCACAAGATTCACTTTTCTCATAATCACAGTGCTGCCTCATTACTCTATAGACTAAGGTCTTGATTTGAAAGCACAGGTTGGGGAAATATAAATCTTTATAGTTTAGTATTACGGTTCTCAATCTCGGGTCCATATTGGAATCTCTTGGAAGTTAAGAAAGATAAAATAGGGCCCTCCCTGGTGGCACAATAGGTTAAAGCAGAACACTATGAAGCTATCATAGCCACTGCAGTACCAGTTCAATCTCTGGCTAGGGAAGTGACCCACATGGCACAGCAGACCTCTTGTGTCTCGCCCACTGCCCCCCCTCCCGCAGCAGTGTATTTCAGTACATCTTGACCCATATGATGCATCAGATCTCCCCTGTCTTGCCTGCTGCTCCCCTCAGCAGAGTATTTCAGCTGATCTGCCTGTTCTGCTCCCCACTCTGTCTCTGGTGAATACTCTTACCCTTGCACCTCTGGCCTGGACTCCAATTCTTTATACATAAATGAATAAATCTTAAAAACAGATAGAAATAGAAAATATACAATGTATTTTTTAATTATGACAGGAAAACAAAATATTAAAAAAATAAATCTGTGGATGACCTAGTCTGTGATGAATACTGCATGTGCTTTTTCATTTGATCTTTTAAAATTTTTTTTTGAAATATCATTATTTCCATTGTATACCTGAGCAATCTGTGGTACAATGGGGCAAGTTACTTCAAACATATTTCTGAATTTATGTTTGCTACTCTATGAGACACTGTCTTTCAATAAACAATTAGCAAAAGTTATTGAGAAAAAACTATGTACTAGTTAGCATATAAGGCACTGAGAATGATATTGTGGAATAAAATATAAAGCCCTTTTCTCAAGGAGACTAACTCAGCTAAGGGGCTATAACTGATTCAATAGCTAATAATTTAAGCCTATGAGAAATCAGAACAAGGGGAGAACACAAGAGTTAGATCAGTGAGGGCAGTTCTGATGGATCTTGGAGGATAAGGATTTGAACAATGAGGAAAACAGATAACAGTATTCAAGTGGATGACAATACAATAAGGTATAGGAGCAACAGAAATGAGTGTGACATGTTGAATTAAACCATCTGTCCAGCAAAAACTGAGCATTCATGTGGCACCAAGCATTATGATAGTAGGGATATAAGATGAATATAGCTGTAAGACTGCTTACAATTCCCAATAAGAATCAGATACAAGGTAATAAAGTATGCTTAAGAAGTACTGAAGTTCAAAGTAGCAGAGGCACTTAGTCCAAAAAGAAGCCTACTGGAAGGGATGATCCCTTAGCTAATCTTGGAAGGATGAAAAATACTTAACTGGATGAAAAGAGTGGAGAAGAGAAGAGAACTGCAGGCAGAGGATATTTTGTAATTTAAAGAGCACAGAACTGTTTACAGGAATTTCTTATAAATTGGAATTACAAAGTAAAATATAAGAGGATGAGAGGGGAGGGAGGGAAGATGTCAGATGAGAAACATATATTAAATTAAAGAAACTACTTTTTTATTACATGTGTTGGAAAACATTGAAGTTTTGACATAATAAATGACACGGTCACTTGTGTGTTTTAGAAAAATTTCTCCTCTGGCTGCAATATGGAGGATGAATTTGAGAGGAACAAGTCTAGAAAGTGAAGAGCTCACACTCATATGGCCCATGAAGAGCACAGTAGACCAGGGAAATTGGTAAAGTATTTAGGATTAAAATTGGGAAAATTTAGTGACTGAACTAGGAGATAAGTGAGAAGACTAAAGGAGTCTAAAATGACTCTCAGAATTCTAGCTTGGCAAGTGAGTGGATGGTGATCCTATTAATTGAAACTGTAACTTCTCAAGGAAATTTTGTCTTAGGAAGTGATTTTGTAAGCAATAGTGAGTCTGAGTTTGACTCATAGATTCTTGAGCTATCTATTGACACTTCCATGTGAGGGCATCCAACTGGCAATTAGATCATAGGTGTTTGAAAGGCTGAAGATTGGTCAGCAAGATTGGAGAAGCCAGAGTATGGGGGTAATTGAAGCAGTCAAAAGTGGTTATGTCCTAGGACAATGTATGTATAGGCAGGCCTAGGGACAGCACAAAGACAAAATCATGGACAGTGCTTCTCTTTAAGATGGTAGAGGAGGGGGGACTCATGAAAAGCTCATGAAGGTAAGGACAGAGTTATAAGGATGAATAGAAGACAGTGATGTCAAAGAAGCTGAGAAAGTAGAGATTTTTTTTTTTAAAGATTTTTATTTGTTTATTCATATAGAACTGGGGTACAGGCCAGAGATGTGGAGGG